GGAAAGAGTTAAACGAAGACATCTATACTACTCAGTAGTTAAAAACAACTTTCAAGACCTTGTTAAACGAAAAAGTATGTTGTCTAACAATCCATATGGTTAATCTCACCTATGGTAAAATTTACATATGCACATTACACACACACACACACAAAACCACCAACGTATATAAAAAAAGAGGAAAAGGTCTAGAAGAATATATGTAGATTAAAAAAATAAAGAAAATGGACCTCAGGGTAGGGCATGAAAACAGTGAAAAGATGAAGGGGGGGAGGGGCACTTTTAGAATTCTACTTCATATTCTTCTATATGGTTCACTGGAAAGAAAAATTCAAGGATGTTTGCATTTATTTATTACCTGTGTTTTTGTTTACTTGTTATTTTTAAACCGTAACCTATAAGGTACTTTCTGCTTGGTACACTCAACTAAGGTTTGGTGATTAAAATTAGTTAGTTCTGGTAACAGACTGGAAAAATGCAGCAGGTTCTCCTCTATATTACCCTGAAGATGACGTGGGTCCTCATGACAGTACCAGACTATCTACACACCCAACCAAAGGCTGGACAACTTGTACACAGAGAGAGAAGATGAGGCTGGGTTTGCCAGAGGTGGGCCTTGCCTGCCGTGTTTACCAACTGGAAATAGAGAGGTAAAGAGAATCCACGGTCCTTATGCAGATTATCACAACAATTACTGCAGTGAGTGATAAAAAGAAAAGGGAGGGAGGGACCCAATCTCATTTTTTTGTTTTTGAGGGAGAAGTTATCCCGAATCAGTAGTGAATACACAGCCCGATGGATTCTAGCCTCTCAATTTCTTATTGCTCCACTAGAGGTGGAGCAGGAAAAGGCAGAAGTTTCCTTTCCTGCATTTCCTACAAGGGTAAAAGTGCTATATCCTTCCATTTGCTGAAGAGAAAACAGAAAAGGGTAAGAGGGATTTCTCTTCTACATCTTTCAACTCTCAAGTTTAATTAAAGCACAAATTACCACTTTCTCCATTTTCTGGAGTCTCTCGTCCAGTTTTGCTAGAACTCCGGCTGGTAGATTCTGGACTGGTAGCTCGAACAAACATCTTCCATTTTCCTCTTTTAGACATAAGTCTACGCATTCCATCTTGAGATGCTGGCTGGCTGATATCAGAACACGGACTAGACCCTGACACACTACCATCTCCTTCCTCCAAGGCTCGCAGCTCTGCCTACAATGAACAGGAATTATTAACTGTTTACCAACATTTATTTGTGTGAGTAGCAAGAATGACAGCCATGTGTTTTTGGAATTTAAATCCTTTGAAGACAATAAGTATTTTTTAATACATTTTTCCATCAGGATTGATCATTATGCTCCAAATTCTACTGTTACTCAATGTATGTTTATTCATGATTACAGTTAACAAATACTGATTTAAAGGGTATAGGTTCTAAAGATCCATGAACAAATTTTCTAATACATGAACACAAAGGATAAAGCTTAACTTTCGGGCTTCCCTGGTGGTGCAGTGGTTGGGAGTTCGCCTGCCGATGCGGGGGACGCGGGTTCGTGCCCCGGTCCGGGAGGATCCCACATGCCGCGGAGCGGCTGAGCCCGTGGGCCATGGCTGCTGGGCGTGCGCGTCCGGAGCCTGTGCTCCGCAAACGGGAGAGGCCACAGCAGTGAGAGGCCCGCGTACCGCAAAAAAAAAAAAAAAAAAAAAAAAGCTTAACTTTCGGTGGTCCCTCTCCATAGCTTCAAATTTTTCAAAAGGGGGAAGCTTCAAAGTGATTTACTGCTATAACACCTGTTAAGACTTTGCTTCATACTCAAGGCAGCAGTAGATAAAACTGTTCCAAGAAAAATCAGGGCAGAAAATAAGTAAAAATCAACTTCTCAATCAGGAAAGTTTCCTGTGGACCATTTATCTTAGAAGGAAAGCACATGAAATAATGGGTTCCTCTTAAATTCTCCTGTTATCTTCTCACAAGGCCCACTTTTCTCTTTCTTTTTCTTTTTTGGCCGCATAAAAGTCTACAATTTTAGTTCCCTGACCAGGGATGGAACCCAGGCCCAGGCAGTGAAAGCGCCAAGTCCTAACCACTGGACCGCTAGGGAGTTCCCATAAGGTCCACTTAACTATACACACAATGCCACAGGTGATCACTGGAAGTCAACTTGTACTTTAAGTGTTGGGTTAAAAACCAAATTATCACAAGAATTCGCAACGCTTGTTTGTTAAGAAGCTAAACCAAAGATATTACTTACTGTATCTACCCTTAAATCATAACAACATTAGTCTTTATTGGTTGTCAACTACCAAAAGCATCATCAGGGACCCAAAGAACTACAACTCCACAGCTCAAGTTTTTATTACATAAGCATATCTAGATGAAAGGATAAGAAAAACAAAATCCCAACGATGGCTGTAAACTGAGCAGAGCAATCCCAGAGTATGACAGTTCCGAAGGAAGAAAATACATCTAATGGAAACTTCAAAAACTTACTTTTTTCCTTTCCAAAACCAGCTCCAGCTCCAGGGTATCTTGTTCTTCTTCCTCTTCACTTTCTCCAGACTGAACAACACTGCAAACATCCTCCTGAGTAGGGTCTTCCACACCGTCCAACAGACTTTCTTGTGGCTTTACTGTTGTTGCTTCTTCTGTTGTACTTGTTTCCTTCTCTTCTGAAACTGGCTCTACTTCTTTACAAATTACTTTTCTTCTCCATCTCTCTTCTTCCTCTTTTATTCCCTCAGGCAATAAAGGAGCAAGCAGTGATGCTGCCACCCCTTTCTTCTCCTCCTCATTATTTGAGAGAGCTTGAATTCCTTCATTCACTTCCTGTAAAGAATAAAATAATTTCCCTTAACTTTCAAAGAAATCTCACCTAAATATACAGTACATTTAATTGTTCGTGTTAAAAACGACCATAGGGCTTCCCTGGTGGCGCAGTGGTTGAGAGTCCACCTGCCGATGCAGGGGACACGGGTTCGTGCCCCGGTCCGGGAAGATCCCACGTGCCGCGGGGCGGCTGGGCCCGTGAGCCATGGCCGCTGAGCCTGCGCGTCCGGAGCCTGTGCTCCGCAACGGGAGAGGCCACAACAGTGAGAGGCCCACATACTGCAAAAATAAATAAATAAATAAATAAAAACAAAAATAAAAACGACCATAATTTTCAGTCACTGGATATTCTTAAAAACTGACTCCCATCAGATTAGTGTACATGTTTGTACCATTTTCTTTACATATGTATAATGGAAACATTGCTACTTTAGGAAGGCAGTATTACAGTTCTGGGTGGGACTCAAACATATCTTTTCTTCTATTCTCTGTACATCAAAAGGCAGACTAGTAAGAAACAGAGGCAGATTTAAATAAGATCAGAATCTTGCCAGTTCAACACACGACTGGATAAATCTCCACCTTCCTCTGCTGTATGATGAGATAACTTCACAAATATGTTGTGAAGGTGAGTTAGAGGAAACTGAAATATTTCTAAAATGAAATGTGTGATTACATTTAAAGCGTCTACCTCCTCCACTGGGATATTTATTCTACGTCCCTCTTACAGGTGTAGAGGTGAACTTATTCTGTAAAAGCTTTTTTTTCTTTTTTTTTCTTTTCAGTATGTGGGCCTCTCACTGTTGTGGCCTCTCCCATTGCGGAGCACAGGCTCCGGACGCACAGTCTCAGCGGCCATGGCTCACGGGCCCAGCCGCTCCGTGGCATGTGGGATCTTCCCGGACCAGGGCACGAACCCATGTCCCCTGCATCGGCAGGTGGACTCTCAACCACTGCGCCACCAGGGAAGCCCTGTAAAAGGATTTTTTGATACAACTCCCTCATCATTCAAAAATTCAAGATAAATTAAAATTCAACACATTCTCTCCGTAGAGTACAACTTACTTTTCTTACTGATGAGATTATAAAAATGGTCAAATTTTATTAGTAGTAGTTTTTAAGGTAGCCAATCTTTATATTAAAAAAAAAAAAAAGGTGGAATCCCAAAATGTAACTATTCTGAAGCAGAGAAGGGGACCCAAAGCGCTGCCTGCTTGGCTGCTCCCATGTCCTTCACAATGACTCAAGGAGCCTCTATTGCACCCTAAAGCTCCAAAAGCACCACTGAACTGGGTAACTGCTATAAATGCCATATAATAAACAGACACAGATTATGTAAAACTTTAAGAAACAAAATTTATACTGTTTCACATCTGTGCTGTAAAATATTAACAGAAGGCTTATATACCTTTGACAGAGAAACATTCAAGTTCTTTAGATGTGAAAATAAGCAGATGAGGTAAGTTTTAACACTGACCTTTTTAACTTCTCGCTTGGCTATGACTGGTGCACTTTTACTACTGGAAACTGAAATATTTTTCTCCTTAGCATACATGTCTGTATTTACCACAAAACTAGCTTCAGCACCTGTTACGGAACTAAAAAAAATATACTTAGCAAGAGAAACAGAAGGCAAATATTATCAGCAAAAGATAAGACTCTGATTTCCTTCTAGTAACTTTTTTTTCAAGTCTATTCTTACCTGGGCTGGTAATGTTGTAATCCCTGCACCTGGGTAGCAAGATACTGGGGTAATTCCCAAGTCACTTCATTTGTTTGTGTGTTCCAATAATAATAGCAACCTGTGTTCTCATCCCAGACCTCCTGCCAATCTCCCATCTCAATTCCAACTAGAAGAAAATGAAACAAATTTTAAGAAGCACATATTCCCGCACAACTCTGACCTTCTATCTCAAGTCAACTCTAAAGCTATAACAACCTAACACAGCATTGTTAACAACTGGGCAGGGCACTTCTCTGTTGTGGAGGCAGTCCGATGTAGTGTTCACCAGCATCCTTGCCTCTCCCCAGCCGATGCAGTAAACCCTCCTCTCACCACCCACTACCACCCTCTGCTGTGACAGCCAGAAATCTCTCCAAACACTGTCAAATGTTCCCTGGGGGGGCCACTCCCCCCTCCTCAGTCGTCTTTGCAAACACGGTTTAAAAAAGCAGTTTGATAGTTGAAAAATGTATTTTGAACCCCAAAATACTTTTTAAAATAATGGCTTTTATTATTTACCGAGCATAATCTACTACTGGTTAAAAGGCAAACAATTATCTTTCAGTAGATAAAAATATACCCTAGCAGTTTTCATTTTCTAAATACTGTATTTAAGAAGCCAGAATTCTAAAGTCTGGGGCTAAAGCATACAGGCTGTCACCTTTGGGAACCTCAATGCCTAGAACACCTTTAAGAACTACACTTTAGATTTCTTTAAAACTCAAAGGATCAAGTTTACCTCCTGCCAGTGAACACTGAGTATCATACTGCCACCCTGAAGTCTGGGTTGAGTCTGTCCCATTTGGGGTAGTGGAAGAAAGGGCAGATGTTGATTCCTTTGGCTCTGGCCGAGGTGGAGTTGGAGGTGGAGCAGAAGCTCCTACAGGAGCTACAGGCTGAGGAGCTGTTATAGCATCAATCTCCTTTAGAATGAAAATAGTGACAAACTCATTAATCACATTAAACCAGAAAAATGGCCATCACTTAAAAAAAAAAAATCCCCCACACACAGGGTTTTGACTTGAGAAGCTTAAGTCTCAGCTTCTCAAGTCAAAACCCTCCTCTTGGCCTTCCCTGGTGTCACAGTGGTTGAGAGTCCGCCTGGCGATGCAGGGGACACGGGTTCGCGCCCTGGTCTGGGAAGGTCCCACATGCCGCGGAGTGGCTGGGCCCGTGAGCCATGGCCGCTGAGCCTGCGCGTCCGGAGCCTGTGCCCCGCAACAGGAGAGGCCACAACAGTGAGAGGCCCGCATACTGAAAAAACAAAACAAAACAGAACAAAAAAACCCCTCCGCTTCCCCATTTTTCTCCATACAACTGTCACAAAAAGAGGTGAGATGGGGAGAGACTAAAAAAAAAGCAGGAGAGACAGACACAGATTGACAAGTAGGCTAACCACTTGAAATTCAGATCCCAAAGTGGTTTCAATAACTAAAAACCCAAACAAAAGCACCACTAACCGCTAGGAAGTTGGCCAATGTACTATCAATATCAGTTGACTGGTTTCCATTTGCTTCCTTAGACTGTGCTGGTTTTTCTGAAACATCACTCTCTTCATCATCACTGTCAGCGTATGCACCAAGTAAGCACAGACCTCCTGGAAACAAAAAGGTAAGCAACGTTTATAACAATGTCAAAAACTCCTAGGAAGTATCCAAGAGAAAATATGATTCTTTAGCCATTTAGTTTACTTACAGAACCTGAAAAAAGTCTTCAATGAACTACCAAAAAGAGGTACAAATTGACTATGCACTTAGAGCTAATAAAATCAATCTGCATAGCAACTTGACATCCTTTTCAAAATATATGCTCAATTACTCAACCTCATACTCCCTCTGTTAAAATAACACATAGTATATCCTGATTTTAGAATCTGTTGTTTTACGTGTCCATCTCAAAAAAGTAAACCAATTAGGGTTTAGTAAATGAAACAAGATTTTCAAAGTGAAAAACAAAGCTCTTTTTCAATGATTTTTTTCCTCAAAAAAGAAGTGACAAATTGAAACAGAACCTAACATGCTAGAACCAAAACAAAAAAAACAACAAAAACCCAGCTAAAATCAAAATTCCCACTCAAATGGTATTAGGTATGGCCTCTGTAATGCTGCAATGCAATTTCCTTCTTAAAAAAAAACCAGAAAGTATACACTTTTTTACTAGTTGATCAATGTTTATGCCATTTCCTTTTGTATCACCTGTGGCTACTCTAATGTTACAATTAAGTGAGCATATATACCCTCTTCATACATTATTTTATTATAATAGGTATATGAAATATTTAAGTCTAGCTAGACTTCGCAGCTATTAATAAGACTAAATTTTCCAGTGCCTTAGTAACTGAACAGATTTATCAGGAGGTAAAACCTAGTTTTCTCTGTCATAATTCTGTAAATAAATTCATGGATTCACTTAAACACGAACATAAATTGCTTCATTTATCATACAAAAGTTCACATTCATTGTTTTAGCCACATAAATCTCACCTTCGTTATTTTTTTGGTATATAGCTAAGTTGTTACACTATCAATTTCCAAACTATTATTTTAAACTGATTAGGAAGATTCTTAAATGGATATTTCACAGTATCTCCATTTTCCAGTTACCAAAAATATATTATACCTCATTTTGGGGGTGGGGTCATACCCGTCAATTTTCCACATTTTCTGAACAAGAGATAAAGGGAGAACTAGATAAGACATTTCTGTACAGAAAAAAATCTGCATTTTAGTATTCAGCACTGATGGGTTTTTCAGGGAAGACGGAGGATGGGAAATTTATATTTTTATATAAACACACTTCTTAGTTGAGAGACAATAATAATCACTGGCCTTAGTTCTTTAATTCTATATCTTTTGGTAAAAGGTTCCAACCAGTGAGCCGTGTGGAATTTTGACTACAAAATTCCCAAGCAGAGGTAATTCCCCAGGCTCAGAGTGGGTCTCTAGGGCAATAGGTTTAGCCAAGGGCTTCCCTGGTGGCGCAGTGGTTAAGAATCCGCCTGCCAATGCAGGGGACATGGGTTCAAACCCTGGTCCAGGAAGATCCCACATGCCACGGAGCAACTAAGCCCGTGCGCCACAACTACTGAGCCTGCGCTCTAGAGCCCGCAAGCCACAACTACTGAGCCCATGCGCCACAACTACTGAATCCCACGTGCCTAGAGCCCGTGCCCTGCAACAAGAGAAGCCACCGCAGTCAGAAGCCAGCACACCGCAACAAAGAGTAGCCCCCGCTCCCCACAACTAGAGAAAGACAGCGGGCAGCAATGAAGACCCAATGCAGACAAAAATAAATAAATAAAATAAATAAATTTATTTTTTAAAAAAAGGTTTAGCCAAGGCTCCACCTAGTCTTTTTCTCTTCAACTCAGAGCTTTTCATATTACACACTTAAAACCTCTTCCAAACTCCTGATCACATGACAATTTAATAGCAAAGTAAATGAAAACGATTAAACGCAGCATTTGGGGGAAAGACACATACTTAATATTGTTAGAGATACCATAAACTGATACAATATTTAAGAACAATCTGGTAACATATACCAAGAACTACAAAACCCTCCAAGTTTCTTATAGCTAGATAATCTCATCTCTGAGAATATAACCCTAAGAAATAATTACAAAAATTTCTTTGCACAAAGCTTTTAAGAGCCTCGTTTAAATAACCAAAAACTGTAAACAACTCAAATGCTCTCAAACAGGGGACTGGAAAAGCAAATTACAGCATAGTGCCAGATGCAATATCACTTTATGATTAATCAGACCATTATGGGATTACATAAAATGATGTTAAGGGGACAAAAGGTAACTCTAAAGGAATAAAAGATAAAATCAAGTCATGAAACAAGTTCTAATTACATCTCTGAAAATGCAGTCTATACATTAATAAAAACAGGCATGCATTTAGAATAACACTAAAAAAAAATCTCACAATACTATACGAAACTGCATAATCTTAGAAAGCCAAAAGCCTCACAGGATCAGGCTTCTAGACTACTACTGAGAAGCTGTTGCTAAATGAAGCCAGAGGAAACAAGGCCATTCTTCAGAGCCAGTCCTTAGCAGTCTTTTTTGAGGAGTACTGACTCCTCAAATCTCAATATGCTTACCTCTAATGGATGGTGCCACACAATTTGCAAACTAACTAATGATATCAGGCAGTAAATTATTTATTTCTTAGATATATACTTTACTTTCCTGATAAGCTTCAAACAGTAACTGTGCCTTATGCCCCTTAGAAACTCTATTATTTCCTCATAACACTGAACAGTGATTTTTAACTCTTTTGGTCACAGAAAGCTATTAACAATCAAAATGATAAAAGCTGTGGACCTTCTCTCAGGAAGACACACTTGAGCGTGTAATTTCAGGGGATTCACAGACGTCTGACACTCATCTATGGAACCACATTAAATACCCTTTTCTAGAAGATGTTTAAATACTGTTGACTATCATGGTAGTCTGTTGGCCTAATTTAACAGAACTTATTCTAAATTTTCCCTTAGATAATTTCACATGCATTTACCATAATATCTGTTAGCATAAAAATACTAGATATGCTTCTCTACTATATTATAAAAGCATACTTTAAAAACTTTAAATTTCATTTCTGTGCAAAGAAATTCAGCATGTTTATAGTGATAAAAGTAAATTCTTTAACTAAAATCATCTTTAAAAAAACACATCAAGGGACTTCCCCAGTGGCGCAGTGGTTAATCCATCTGCCAATGCAGGGAACACAGGTTCAACCCCTGGTCCGGGAAGATCCCACATGCCGTGGAGCAACTAAGCCCGTAGGCCACAACTACTGAGGCTGCGCTCTAGAGCCCATGCATCACAAGAGAAGCCACTGCAATGAGAAGCCTGTGTACTGCAACAAAGAGTAGCCCCCGCCCGCCGCAACTAGAGAAAGCCTGGGTACAGCAACGAAGACCCAACGCAGCCAAAAATAAATGAAATAAATTAATTAAAAAATATATATATATACATATATATCAATTCTCGAGTATCTACTGTTTCACAAAGCCATGCAAATAATAATGGAAAATTGCTTCCCTTTTGTTTTTGTTAAACTTTTTCCTATGCGTTACACCAACTAGTAAGAAATGAATAAAGACAGAAACACAACAAATCAAAATATAGGGGATTCAGTGAAAGCAGTGCTTATAGGAGAATTTACTGCCTTAAGTCAAAAAAGAAAAAAGGTATCTCAACCCAACAACTCAAGCATTCACCATAGGAAACTAGAAAAAATGAGCAAACAATTATAAAGCAAATAGAAGGAAAGAAATGATAAATATTAAAAGCAGAAATCAATGACACAGAAAAAAATTAATAGAGATAATCAACGAAACCAAATTTGATGCTAGGAAAAGGCCAACAAAATTGACAAAACTTAGCTATATTAACCAAAAAAAAAAAGAGACAAGACACAATTACCAAAGCCAGAAATGAAAGAATGGACTTCATAACTGACCTTACAGATTATGAGAGAATATTCTGAACTAATTATAGCAACAAATAGACAACTTTGTTAAAATAGACAAATTCCTAGAAAGATGCAAATAACCAAAACTGAGTCAAGAAGAAACAGAATATCTGAAAAACCTAAATGTCCACTGACAGAAGAATGGATAAAGAAAATGTGGCACATATATACAATGCAATACCACTCAGCTATTAAAAAAAAAATGAGGGGCTTCCCTGGTGGCGCAGTGGTCAAGGGTCCGCCTGCCGATGCAGGGGATGCGGGTTCACGCCCTGGTCCAAGAGGATCCTGCATGCCGCAGAGCGGCTGGGCCCGTGAGCCATGGCCGCCGGGCCTGCGTGCCTGGGGCCTGCGTGCCTGGGGCCTGCGTGCCTGGGGCCTGCATACCCGGAGCCTGTGCTCCACAACGGGATGAGCTTGCGCGTCCAGCAATGGGAGAGGCCCACATATCGCAAAAAAAAAAAAAAAAAAAAAAAGAAATAATGCCATTTGCAGCAACATGGACGGAACTAGAGACCATCATACTAAATGAAGCAAGTCAGAAAGAGAGAGACCACATGATATCACCTATATGTGGAACCCGAAATATGACACAGATGAACCTACCTACGAAACAGAAACAGACTCACAGACATAGAGAACAGACCTGTGGTTGCCAAAGGCAGTGGGGAGGGATGGAGTGTAAAGCTGATATATTCTTATGCCGCAGGATGAAGCTGAACAGAATGAAAACATTTCTGTTCACAAGGCACATAAAGGTCTGAAGTGCTGACTGACACTGCAACCAAGGAAATTTCTCGTAGAACATTTAAATTCTATCTATCACACATGACCCTTAGAAGACCCAAATGAAATAATATATGTAGTTTACAAATACAAAATGGTATTTCCTAGTTCTGTAATTTCTCTCACAATGTGGTTTTACCTTTTCTAACCCATACTTTTTTTTTAAGTGGCAAATATGGGGTAGGGGGGAACAAGTATCTATTATTTCAGGTGTCACATAGTACAAAAAGTCCTGCAAATTCAGAAGAATAAAATTACTACCAATTTTAGAATATTTAGTATCAAAACATATTTTAATCTTTCAAGATACATAAAGAGTAGAGAAAACTAACATTCTTGGCACTTGCTGTGTTAGAATTTTATATATATTGTTCAATTTAATCATCAAAATAACTTAGGGCTCTAAGATCTATTTTACAGATAAATGATGTCCTGAGGTCTTGGTATGAATGCTAGAGTGGTGATTTGAACCCAGGTTTGTCTACAAAACCATCACTGCAAATATTCCTTCATGCTTAAAAAGTATTCAATAAGAGCAATTTTCAGCTGCACAAACATTTGCTAGGTACCAATCAAAGCTGTGTGTTAGAGAAATAACACAATGAAAAGACACTGTTGGTGTCCCTAAAGAATGCCAAGATAGTGGGGAGCTAGAAAACTAGTTACAAAATAGCATCAGTAGAAAAAGTAGTACAAAGTAATTTGGGTACAGAGAAAAGGGAACAGCAAATTTTACATTGGTTAAGGGACTTCCCTGGTGTCACAGCGGTTAAGAATCCACCTGTCAATGCAGGTGACAAGGGTTTCAGTCCTGGTCTGGGAAGATCCCACATGCCGCGGAGCAACTAAGCCCGTGTGCCACAACTACTGAGCCTGCGCTCTAGAGCCCACGCACCACAACTACTTAAGCCTGCGCGCCTAGAGCCCATGCTCCGCAACAAGAGAAGGCACCGCAGTGAGAGGCCTGTGCACCACAACGAAGAGGAGCCCCCGCTCGCTGCAACTAGAGAAAGCCCGTGCGCAGCAACGAAGACCCAACGCAGCCATAAATAAATAAATAAATTTTTACATTGGTTAAAGTATATATACCAACAAGCCCTCACAAAGATTTAAAATTTCCATTTTATGGGAAGAATACAAATTAGCAACACTGAAACATTCATCAAAACACTATATACAAACACGGTTTGATCCTAATGTAGAAAAGATGAAAAAAAAAAACTATACCTGTTGCTTTAACGGCAGTGGGCCTGGTGGTCATGACTGGTTTGGGAGGATTCTGAACTCTAGGAACCTCCACCACCACCTCCTGTTCATCTGGATTTTAAAAAGCAAACAAAAGAAAACTACAGTCAGACGATGGTACACAGAAAAAACTATACAGGTGACAAAACAATCTGTGACTTCTCAAGTCTAGACTTCATCAATTTAAAAACAGGGTAGCTGTAACTCATCACTAACCCAAATAACTGGGAGACAGGAAAACCAGTATAACTAGAATCTTTCATCTGCCTAGTGGCTTTAACATTAATAATTTAAACACCGTATATAAAAACTACATCTGAAATAATCCAAAGTTAAAACACACACAGAATAAATCTTCTCCAGGCTACCAGAAGGCTTTTACGAAAAGCACAACTAGAGCATTTTTTTCGCAAGAGCCACCCAACGTGATTTTTTTTTTTTTTTTTAAACCTGAAATGGTCGGGGCTTTTTCGGCGTCTGGCCCCTACAGTATAGCCCAGTCCGGTTACTCTTAACCCAAGTACCATTCTAGGGATAAACACAAGTACTTGGGAACCCACAAACACCACCTCTCCAGGGATTTTTGGGAAATCTACCAACTAGGGGTTACTTACATTTTAGCTGGCATAATAAAAATGGTATGCTCACTTCTAAAGGGTCTCTCTCAATTTCAACAAAAACGAAAAGGAAAAGCCGATGCCATGTAGGAAACGGCAGGTTCCACGGTCACCAAGCCTAGGACGCGGAAACGCATACTCTCACATTTACCCCGTAAGTTATTCAAAGCCAAGAATAGACGTTGAGCAGACTGGGCGCCCGGGCCAAACCCTGCACCAGAGATGGCGCCTCTGGGTCGGCTCTGGCCGGGCGCACACGGCTCCGCCGCCCCTTCCGCAGCTTTGGGCTCACAGCCGTGCTCACCGCAGGCCGCACGCAACAGGCCTCGGATGCGGACGCCGCCCGCCCGGGTTTCTCTTCCTCCTAGGACTCGCCCGAGAGGCCTAGGCCGCGAGCCCCGAGCTCGAGTTTCGGACGCCCCACCTAGGCGCCGCGGCCCCTCGCGCACGCTTACCTTCTGAAGGTGAGTCGTCCGGGGCCGCGGCGGCAGTGACCGCGGTCGTCGTCGTCGGCGCCGCCGAGGCTGGCTGGCTGGGCGCCGCCGCTGCCGCCGAGTCCGGCTCGGTGTCGGGTTCCGGCTCTGGGTCCCGGCCCGGCGTGCTACTCCGCGGACCTGGCGGAGAGAGCTGCAGGATAGGCCTACGGCCGGGTACCGCCCGGGACTTCTTCCCCATCGCGAGCCCGAGCGCGAGCTGCGAGCGTCGGGCAACCTAGAGGGGCGGGCGTTCGGCGCGACGCTGCGTAATCAATATTCATACACTGCGACACCCTCCTAGAAGGATTCGCTTTTAACCGGCGGAGCGTGCGCCCGCGCAAGTGCCTTGGGCCCCGTACACTCTTCTGGCTCCTCCCCCGGGGGGAAGGAAGACTTTACCCACGGGGCTAGGCGATTGGCTGTTTTGACACATTGAAGAACCCGGTAGCCAATGGACAAGGAAAAAGGGTCAGAGTCAAGCGAATAGTACGGAAGGATGTGAGTTTAGACTTGCTTCCAATTACGTCAGGCTCCACCCTTGCGGTTTTTGCGGAGTCTTTTCTCTACCGTCTTGTCCTCCATTTTGTACCCGTTCTTGCCTATGTGTTTCTTGTTGTTTGTCGCCTAGGAAGCTGTGCTGCTTTCCAGGCCCTTCCCCAAGTTTCGCCCTGATTATTGTGGCTTACTTTGGATATAACATTAGGAAAAACAGTAGGTCTTTTATGGTTTTGTGAATTTTTGGAGGGGGGGCACAAAGATGACGTCTCATCGTGTGGCTTATCAGGTGGAAAAATATCACGACATAGTACATACGAGGGTAGAGCCTAAATTGTGATGGGATACAGGAGCCTTCCCAGCGTGGCCGCTTTAATAGATTTATCTTCCTTTAGCACTCTCCTCTCCCCTGTCCCATTCTGGAACCAGCCACTCGGAGCAGTTCTCTCACCTTTATTCCTTCACACTAGTTGGAAAAACTACGGCATCGTGTGGCAAAACTATTTTCCTTCCTCAAGACCCATTGCAGGCATAACATCTCTGAACCTTTTATCTCAATGCTGAGCCCCTCCCTAGCAACTTGACTTACCGTTGATACTTGTCTCCCACTTCTAAATTGAGCTTAAGAAATCCAGTGCTATATTTTTGGCCGCACCTCCCACCAGGGATTGAACCCACGTCCCCTACATTGGAAGCTCAGAGTCTTAACCACTGGACAGCCAGGGAGGTCCCCAGTGGTATATATTTTTATATTCCCAGCGCTCACTCAGTTCTTGCTAGAGCATGCTAATAATATGTAACATTTATCGACCACTTACTATGTGTCAGGTACCGTCTAAGGACTTTATATGTAGAATTGCGTTTGATTCTCACAACTTTATAGGGTGGATATCATTATTCCTAATTTATAGATCATATTCCTCATTTATAGATGAACCTTTAAATTGGTTGCTGAGTGCAAAAGCCATGAAAGCAGTGACTTGTCTGTTTTGTTCCCAGTATTGAAATGCACTTTCTGGAACACAAGCACTCAGTTTTTGAATGAATATAGTGCTTGAATATATACAAACTAGAAATAAGTAGCAAGAGTTCTTTCCTTTTCTTACCTATGGGAGGAATATCTGGATTAGAATGTTTTGAGATTAGACTCCCAAGACTCCTGAAAAATTAACAGCTAGAATCAGGGGAGAATATGCTGTTTTGAAGCTGTCACCAATGATTTCTTTCTCTCTTCCTTTCTTTTTTTGATATATTTATTAAAAGAAGCGTTGATACACAGTAGTTGTACATAGGAGTTTTGAAGCCAAACATCTGGATTCAAAACTCAACTCCAGCACCTTCCAGATGTGATTGCTATGACAAGTTTCTTTTTTTTAAACAAATTTATTTTATTTATTTTTGGCTGTGTTGGGTCTTCGTTGCTGCACACGGGCTTTCTCTAGTTGTGGTGCGCAGGCTTCTCATTGCGGTGGCTTCTCTTGTTGCAGAGCATGGGCTCTAGGCGTGTGGGCTCAGTAGTTGTGGCTCTTGGGTTCTAGAGCATAGGCTCAGTAGTTGGGGTGCACGGGCTTAGTTGCTCCGCGGCATGTGGGATCTTCCCGGACCAGGGCTCGAACCCGTTTCCCCTGCATTGGCAGGCAGATTCTTAACCACTGTACCACCAGGGAAGCCCTATCGCAAGTTTCTGAACATCCCTAAACTTGTTTCTGCAACTGTAAAATGTTAGTTATAGTATCCATAGAGTTGTTGTGAAGTTTAAATTACATCATAGTTTTAAGCTCTTTGCAATGCAGCCAGGAACAAAATAAGCAATTATTCTATAGTAGCTATTATTACTACTAATGAGCGTTTTGTTTACATGAAAGTCCAGATCCTATTATAAAACTGGCTGTAAACAAGTTGAGATTATGAGCTAAACCACAATGCATAGAAATGTGAAAGGCTGTTTTCCTTGGGGGAAATTTATATTTTTGGAGGTAGCTGTTAATGTTTGTAGCCAGGGTTCTCGACCCCAGCTGTTTAGAGAACCATCTGGAGGGTATTAAAGCAATATAAGAATCTGAATCAGGGCTGAGAGTGCAGGGCTCATATCAATTTTATTTTAAAAAGCTCTTTATTTTAATGCTTAGCCAGGGTTGAGAACCACTGGCTTTAGAGACATGTTTTGCTGTTTTTGGCCTCAGAGAAGGTATTAGGATCTGAACCAAGAATGGACAAATCATGGCTAAATTACGCCTGCTTTTTATTTATTTATTAAAAAAAATTTTTTTTTTGGCTGTGCTGCATGGCATGTGGGATCTTACTTCCCCCAACCAGGGATTGAACCCACGCCCCCTGTAGTGGAAGCATGGTGTCTTAACCACTGGACCACTGGGGAAATCCCAGGCCTACCTTTTAAAGGGTTGAACAAACAAAACAAAACAAAGAATGTCTGACAGAGGACTGCCCTGGTGGTGCAGTGGTTAAGAATCCACCTGCCAATGCAGGGGACATCGGTCCAGGCCCTGGTCCGGGAAGATCCCACATGCCGCAGAGCAACTAAGCCCGTGTGCCACGGCTGCTGAGCCCACATGCTGCAACTACTGAAGCCCGTGTGCTCTGGGGACGGCGTGCTGCAACTACTGAGCCTGTGTGCTTCAACTACTGAAGCCTTTGCACCTAGAGCCTGTGCTCCGTAACAAGAGAAGCCACTGCAATGAGAAGGCTGCACACTGCAACGAAGATCCAACACAGCCAAAAACAAACAAACAAAAATCCTGTGATAAACCATGATGGTAAAGAATATAAAAAAAGAATGTGTATATGTATGTTTATATATATATAAAGAATATAAAAAAGAATGTGTATATGTATGTTTATATATATATATATATGTATGTATAACTGAATCACTTTGCTGTGTAGCGGTAATTACAACATTGTAAATCAATTATACTTCAATAAATAATCAATTAAAAAAAAGAATATGTGACAGAGAACTGTGTAGACTACAAAACCTAAACTACTTATCTGGCTTTTTTTTTTTATGTCTCCACACAGAGTGAGTAAACATGGTCAGTCACTCCCTTTAAAGAAAAATTAGGCCTGCTCTTTGACTGCCAGGGACTTAAACAGCTCTGGAATTACTGAGGATGTTTTGGTTGTGGTGACAATGTTGTTTTAGTAAAATCAAATTATCAGAGCTTACATTTGACAAGTGAAACCTGGGAAGAACAATCATTTAAATAAACATGCATTTTCAAATATATTTAGTTATAATCACAACTGGTGGGCAATGTCTTTACTCTGTATTTAATGTTAATTTCAAAAGCCAACCTTCCTAATCCATATTAAAGCTCTGGCTTTTGGAACTGCAACATGAGGTATGCTGCAGAGGAAGACTGTCCACAGAAATCCCAGCTTCAGCAGTGTAGAATGAAGTTTTAGGGTTGTGTGTGTTAATTCATCTAAATTTTATCCTGTAAGAAATTAATAAACTGAAACCTCAGACTTCCCTGGTGGCACAGTTGTGAAGAATCCGCCTGCCAATGCAGGGAACACAGGTTTGAGCCCTGGTCCGGGAAGATCCCACATGCCGCGGAGCAACTAAGCCCATGCGCCACAACTACTGAGCCTGCACTCTAGAGCCCGCGAGCCACAACTACTGAGCCTGCATGCCACAACTACTGAAGCCCGTGTGCCTAGAGCCCGTGCTCTGCAACAAGAGAAGCCACTGCAATAAGAAGTTGGCTCACCGCAACAAAGAGTAGCCCCCGCTTGCCACAACTAGAGAAAGCCCGTGTGCAGCAACGAAAACCCAACGCAGCCAAAAATAAATAAATGTAAAAAAAAAAAAGGAAACCTCAATTAAATAGTCTTGGGAGACTAGGACTGGGAGCTCTCATGCCCTGGGATGACAGCAGAGCTCAATAGGAAGAAAACTCTTCTTTCCTAGCAAGGACTCAGCCAATGAAAAGCCACGTGCTTTGTTTACTATAGCTCTCCCAACTTCCCCGGCTCCTTCCCTTGCCCTGGGGGGACTTGCACATGGCATGCCATGGTTGCAAGACCCTGGATTGCAATTGTCTGATGATTCTGAATAAATCTATCTTTGCTGGAGAAATAACTGGCAGTATATATTTTTTAGGTCAACAGTCATTTATTGTCTCACTCCCAACTGGGTGTACTTTGATCAAGTCAGTTCTGAGGATAAGCCCCAGGAGGTAACATCAGGTTTGAGGGCTCAGTCCCACACAGGACTGCCCTTACTACAGAAGCCAGCTCCACATGAGGTCCCCATGCCACTCACACTTCTTTCTGGCTATAATATCAGGGGTTCCCACGACCTCCTCACATTTTTGAATTCTCTAGAAGCATTCACAGAACTCAGGAAAACACTATACTTATGATTCCAGTTTTATTATAAAGGACACAAGGTGAGGGACTTCCCTGGTGGTCCAGTGGTTGGGACTCTGCGTTCCCAATGCAGGGGGCCCAGGTTCAATCCTGGTCAGGGAGCTGGATCCCACATGCTGCAACTAAAAGATCCTGAACACGGCAATGAGGATCCCACATGCCACAACTAAAACCCAGCGCAGCCAAATAAATATTTATTAAAAAAAAAAAAAAGATACAAGGTGAGGTGTGGGAGGGAGCACAGAGCTCCCATGCTGTCTCTCTGTGGAGTCCTCATGTCACCCTCCCAACACATTAATGTGTTCTCCA